AATTATTGTTATAAAAACTGTAGCTGCCATTAGTCGTCTCACCTCCTTGAACTCTTGAATCTGCGACTGCTCAAACATGCTGAACACGTTGGAGCCGCCCTCGCCGCTCGCCTTCTTCTTCGCCTTCTTCGGGGACTGATGGGAGAATATGAGAGAGATTGTTCGTACATTCCGTTGCTGTAGCAACCAACTGCCGGCAGAGTTCCGTGGCAGTTTAACTGACAAGCAGTTTAACTCCTTGCTGGAGCATTATCCATACGTTCTCCTTTTATTGCCGCTCATTTAGTAGTTTACTAAGAAGTTTTGGGGTTTTTTTGTGATCAACTTCCTGCTAACCAAGCTAGCCACTAGCTTATACTGGCTGTCCGAGCCTAATGCATTGTATATTGTATGTATTTTACTCTTTTAACTTTTACTTGTGGACTGCATGTCAATGTTTATTAGATTATTTACTGTTTCTATGAGAACTTAATGTTTCTGCCTATACCTCTTGTTGTATTTATTTGATATCTCCTTTATGTCGCCTGCAGAAGTTGGTTTCAGCTTACGGTTATGAAGCTAGCCACTACTACTAGCTACCACATGCTAATACAACAGCTATATAGCTAGCCATTGTTTTTTGAGGTTGTGTATTTTACTCTTTTAACTTTTACTTGTGGACCTCATGTGTATGTTTATTAGATTATTTACTGTTTCTATGAACACTTCATGTTGATTTTTCCTTGTTTCTGCCTACACTTTATTTTTAAGAATCCAGTTTCATTGTCATGACCAGGTTTGCAAATTAGCACCAACCAAATTCTGGAAAATTATTATTTACTATTGAATGGCTGGTGAATTTAAACATTTATCTGTAAGTAGCTGGTAAATGTTCTAATTTTAACATGTTAATTTCCCACCCAGGTCACTACACTAACTCACCAAATGCCATATGAATAACATGAAATTAGACTCTCAAAGTGCACCAAAGTCCAATTATGCGTGCAGTAATAAATGCAAAGCTTTGTAAAACAACTTTTCCCTGAGCATAAACTAAAAGAAAGTGTAGAAAGAAAGTTTTTAACAGTACCTTTGGTCTAACTCTGTTTTAAAAATTGCTGTGTTCATGCTTAGGGCAGAAGAGTCAGAAGATAACGCTCATCAAGGGCATTTAGCTTCAGCTATTTATGTGTTTGGCTTCATTTCAGTGACACTGAAATATAAGAGTCACGAGTGCACGAGTGTATACGTTGGATCACAAGAGCAACTTTAATAAAAACACGCCAAACAGGTTGAAGATTAAATATGGAGGCAAACATTACTACTGCCACAATATATAATACAAATAGTAACTATATTCATATGCTTTCAAATTCAAATATTCAAATGCTGTCGAATTTAAGGCATTAATTTAGATTGACGAGGTGTCCATTATCAGGAATTAATGGCCTCCATGTCGTCCATTAATTCCTGATAATGGATACCTCGTCAGGCATTATCTCTTACTCAAAGCACACGATGACATGATGTTAATTAATTAATTATTAAAAGTTAATGTATCTGTTATGGCCACATTTTAGACAGAGTGATGAGTAAAGAATTAAAAATTGTTTATAAAAACAACAATTTATTAATTTCTAATGCCACCTTTTAGATTATTTATATTAAATGATTTACTATTGTGCCACAATAATGTTTTTAAATTCAAATATCTTCATTGGGGGGGTTTAAAACTAATAACTTTAGTAATTCCAAGTGAAAATAACTTTATTAGTGCTGTGAAAACAAAATACCCAGTTAAAAGTTATTAATCAGGAATATTGGTAATAATAAGTTAGTGCCACTTAAAATTACCAGTAAAAGCTTAATCAAGAATCTTTTTAAACTTAAAATTTTTTTATTTGTGTTACTTTGAGTTAAATGCACTTATCTGGATTTACAGTGATGTTGCCATAACTAGAAAACATTGAATCAAACTTTTTAGAGTGTATAAGTTAATATTGTTGCTTTGAAATCGTATTAAAATGCACAGATTTGCACCCATTTCAACCCCCCGCGGTGGGATTCGAACCCGTGACCTCAGTATTTCTAACATTCTGGCTACAGACAAATAAAGGAGGATGTGAAGGAGTTCAGTCTTACCATGATGAGGAGTTTCTTCACACGTTCTGAACCTGAGAGATAACGTCCAACACTGCCTCCACTGTTTTATAGACCTGGCCACACATCAGCCACCTGGGCTAAGTTTAGACAATCGGGGGTGGATTAATATTCCAGGTATTCCTGCCTTATAGAGGCCGAACACTTTACACCCATCTTCATCATCCATAAAACTTCTATTGTTATCCGCTGTATTGACAGGAGGAGCTGTCACCACAGGGCGGGAATGAGCCATGGACAAATGCTCATACCTGAAGCTTCATCCAGGCTAATCATAGCTCACAGTAGCGCCCACATTAGACCTATAATAAAATAATACCCCCCCGAGGGTTAGAAGAGGGCTTTAAAACATTAAAGCGACCTTCAATTTGATTTAATTTCATAAGTTCTGTTTCAGTTTTTGTGTGTTTACGTTTCAGTTTCTCTCAATTTCATCGTGAATCAAAGAGCAGCTCGGGACAGAAATAGAGCAGATTAATTTACTTTAATTACTTTATAGTATGAAAACACTCGTGCTGAACCTCGAGTTGTTGAAGAAGCAGATGTTTTTGATGGTTAATAAAAGAAAAACTGCTGTATCTCTTATAACTTGTGGACACACGACCTTGACAGGGCAGACACATGTTTTGGATAACTGATATGTTATCTAAAGCAGGTGTATATTTTTATATCCATTGTGTCTGGTCTGTATGTACTGTATGTGCACACAGTTGTACTTTGATTAAATGAGTCTCTGGTGGCTGAGATATACTGTATGGCAGTGGTTCTTTTTCCACGAGGGAGCCCTTTTCTATCATTAATAAACTGACTCCGTGACATATTTTATGGATATTTCATATTAGATTCAAACAGTGAGCTCAGTAACTGGAAGAAGTTTGTGTAAAACCAGTGATTTGGATTAATTTTGAGCAGATTGTTTCCTGTTTAAGGAACTTATTATACTATTCTTTGTTTGTATTATGTATTTTTATTAGTTTTTAACAAACATACAGACTTAATAAGCTTCTTTTTTGACAAATTCTGTGTTTTCTTGCCTCTGGTGTTTACTACATTTACAATTCTTCATAGCAATGAACCAAAAGTTGAGATAAAGGCCTACTGTGCATATTTTATATTACGTTTTTTTTACATCCCCTGAAATCAAGAAGGCCTTGCGGCCACCTATGAAGCTTCGGTGACCCCTCGTGGTGGCCCCCGACCCCAGTTTGGGAGCAATATTTACATTTTTGTAGATTAAGGATTTTTTTTTACTAATGATGTAATTTTATGAAATAATTAAGTTTAGACCTTATCGATGTTTCTTATTTGTGGAAAAAAAAAAACATTTGAGACAAATTATAATCCAAAACATACAATTTTTTATATAAATTAAAACGTGTGGAGGGGATTTTTAACCAATCAGATGAGGCTCAATAGTTTTTTAAATATCTAAAAAACAGAATAGTAGCCAATGTAACGAAGAAGAAAGGATTCTGTAAGTTATTATAATAATAATAGTTTTTATTATTTTGAGATACTATGTCATTATATTGATAAACTAATTAAAAAATGTTGAGATAAAAAGTCAATATTTTTAAGAAGGTTTTTCATTATAATGACACTGGCAGAAATGGACTTCTGTAGTAATATTAGTTATTTTAAACTTATTTAAATTAAATATGTTGAGTACTTCTTTCACTGTTATTATTTTATATATTATATTGTATATTATTATTATATTTTATTATATATTATATTATATTATATATTATATTATATTATTTTATATTGTATTATATATTATATTATATTATATATTATATTATTATTATATTATATTGTATTGTATTATATAATATATAATATATAATATATATAATATATTATATATATTATATATTATATTCTATTAAATATTATATATATTATATTATATAATATTATTATATTTATTATATATTATATTATATTATATATTATATGATATTGTATTATATATTATTTTATATATTATATGATATTGTATATTATATTGTATTATATTATATTATATATTATTATTATATTTTATATTATATCATATTATATTATATATATATAATATTAAATATTATGTATATTATATTATATTATATTAAATATTATATATATTATATTATATATTATATTATATATTATATTATTATTATATAATATTAAATATTATATATATTATATTATATATTATTATTATATATATATTATATTATTATTATATAATATTGTATTGTATTATATATTATATTATATTATATTAAATATTATATTATATTATATTATTATATAATATTAAATATTATATATATATATATTATATAAATATTATGTATATTTATATTATATATTATATTATATTATATTAAATATTATATATATTATATTATATAATATTATTATATTTTATTATATATTATATTATATTATATTAAATATTATATATATTATATTATATAATATTGATAAGATCTATGAGACCTGACGGATTCCCCTCGCGACCAAGAAGCTTGACGTGATGACGCCATGCGCTGCAGTCACGTCACAGCACGTACGACCGTAAGACAGCGCGGGGCCCAGCAGAGCGGACAGCTAACAGAGAATGAAGCCTGCATTAAACATTAAACGTAACTTCTTCTCTTTTATACGTTGTTTATTTTTATTTTTTTTATTAACCTGAGGGTGTGTGTTGTTTTTTCCTACTTCCGCTGTCGTTGTGGATAGCGGGGTGTGTCCCTGTCGCCGCTCGCGCCCCACCTTCCCTCCTGCGTTGTTGTTTGTTGTGAGTCGCGCGCTGTGGCTCGCGCTGTCCTCCCCTGATTTGTGCCGACCGTTGGCTCGCCGCGCGCATGCAGCAGAATGGCTCGAGCGGTTCCAACGGCTCCGACGGCTGCAGCAGAGACCGCCAGTCGCTGCCCTTCAGCCCGCTGCCCGCCGCGGCGACGACCCGGGTGAGGAGGTTCATTCAGGAGAGACGGACGCTGCCTCTACCCAGAGTGATGGTGGTATTCTCGGCCGCGGGTGACACCGACAAACCGGGCGATGCCATGTCCAGCTCGGACTCTGCGGAGGACGAGTTCCGAAAGCCGGCCTCCCCAGCGCCGAACTTCAGCCTGAGCAAGCCGCTCCGCCCCTCACTGAGCGCCGGGGAGCAGGAGGTAGGTAGGCCGCTGTACCGCTCGGTTCTACCGGTTCAACCAGCACACAGGGTAACAAACAGCACACTGACAATGTATAACTTTAAACTCCATATTCAAACTTTAAACTCCATATTCAACTTTAAACTGCATATTTAACTTTAAACTCCATATTTAACTTTAAACACCATATTCAACTTTAAACTCCATATTAAACTTTAAACACCATATTTAACTTTAAACACCATATTTAACTTTAAACACCATATTTAACTTTAAACTCCATATTTAACTTTAAACTCCATATTTAACTTTAAAAACTATATTTAACTTTAAACTCTATATTTAACTTTAAAAACTATATTTAACTTTAAACTCTATATTTAACTTTAAAAACTATATTTAACTTTAAGCACCATATTTAACTTTAAACTCCATATTTAACTTTAAACACCATATTTAACTTTAAACTCCATATTTAACTTCAAACAGTGCTGGGCAGTAAGTTATTACTATTCATAATATTACAGTAATACATTACTGTTCACCAGTAACTAATTAATAATAAACTTCAGTAATAATGTAACTTTCCTTAGTAACTACTAGTGTAACTATTTACTGATATATTTCAGTAATAATTTTACAGTTAATATTTAACTTACAGTTAATATTACTTTCCCCAGTAACTAGTACTCTAACTAATTAATAATAAACTTCAGTAATGACATTACTTTCTCCAGTAACTCTCCCACAGGGGATCAATAAAGGAACATTTTATCTTTAATAATAGTGTAACTGATTACATTTCAGTAATAATATTAGTTACCCACCAAAAACATAATTAGTTACAACTAGAGCTGCACGATATGATACAATTGCGATTATTTTGACCAATATTGCGAAGTGATTTGCGATTAGAGCTTTAATCGGACCAAAACCCAAATTTCTGTATAAAATAAGTAAAATAATACATATAAAAATAATACATTAAAATCAGAGAATGAATAAATACAGCCACAGTTGGAGTCACTGTCACATTATAATATATATATATATAGATATATATTTATATAATAGTTGTGTCCATAGTGGCTGATCACATTACACACAGTCAGTCCTCTGTATCTGCTGCTGTATGTGGGTGTTTACAGGTGTCAGTGGTTGCTCCTGATTGGCTGTCACGTGACTTGAGTTAATGAGCGAGCGTGTGCAGCCTGATGGATCTCCAGCATTATAATCCTCTTATATCAGTGGAGTCAGACACGTAGCGCCTCACACAGCCTGTTCACAGCTCTGTGGATAAACACAGAGGCATTAAATTAGCTGTTTTTTGAATGGAGTTTGGTCTACTGGATGCAGCCTGTGAAACAGCAACTTTTGTTGCCAAAGAAATCAGCAGGTTTCCACTAAATATAGTGTGTGCATGCACAGGAAGTGGGCGGCTCTGTAACATTTAACTGGAATTAACTATTAACGACCACTAACAGCGAGCTGGTTATCTTACAGCGCCTCCTAGTGGTGACATAGTTAATTACCTGTCAGAGTTTCAGCCCTCAGACTGTTATTATCAGCTGAAATTAATACAGACAAACTGCACCGGTGAAATATATGTATGTGTAAATATAGCCTGAGTAAAAGCCACCAATCAGAGCGCGGCAGCAGCGTCTCCTTGGCAACCATTCAAATTAAGGTCAATTAGCTCTTCCAATTGTAAACAAACAAGGTTAAAAGATAAAGTTCTGTACTGTAGGTGGGTTAATATATACAGTCCTATATACAAGGAGGAACCATAATAGGTACATATCATGTTACTAAAGGAGTTATTAGTTACTTCATTACTAATGATTGCATCTAAAACAACAACAATGCTGTATTTATTTTACCTGTAATTGTCAACAAATGTCACAAACACCTCAATAAAATATCTGAACAAGCATAAAAACTAGATTTATATAAACATATTATGAGGAAAAACTTTAGTGGTAAATACACAAATACACTGTACATTTATTATCAGGGAACCAAGTTAATACAAGTGCTTCCAGTCATAGTTATGAAAACTATAATTACATTATTGTTACTATTTAATATATTTAAAGATAACGTTATGATTTGCTACCATACAAATAAAAAATGTAATTTAAAATCCTTTAAACCGGTTACTTTTATGTGCTCACATCCTAAAAATAAAACAAATGAACAAATGTTTAAATTATTTAATAATTCTTACTTAAAGTACATATAATACATAATACATATACAGTAAAAGATCTAAAGCATTAAACTAGACTTATATAAATAAACTTTATTGTTAGGATATGTTTGTGAACAGATTAAACCTTCATTGGACAACATGAAGCTAACAGTCTAAAATTAAAGTTAAACATTCACACAGAGAGCCAGTCAGCTCTTTCGTTACCCATCATGCACTGGGTCTTGCAGTCAGTGGCGTGCTGCGACCGCATTGATCTTCTTCCGTTAGATTCATCGTTCTTTTAGTGTTTCATCCATTTAGCTCTTTTATTAACAAGCTTTTATATTTCCGTTCTCAATGTAAAGTTCCCAGAGGTCATCTCTCTGAATGTCGGGGGCACGTTCTTCACCACTCGCCTGTCCACGCTGCGGCGGTTCGAGGACACCATGTTGGCCGCCATGTTCAGCGGACGCCATTACATCCCACGTGACGCCGACGGGCGCTACTTCATCGATCGGGACGGGACATATTTTGGGTGAGTAGCGCTGTGTGTGACCTCCGAGCAGGGCTGTGTGTGACCTCTGTGCAGGGCTGTATGTGACCTCCGACCAGGGCTGTGTGTGACTTCCGATCAGGGCTGTGTGTGACGTCCGACTAGGGCTGTGTGTGACCTCCGACCAGGGCTGTGTGTGACCTCCGACCAGGGCTGTGTGTGACGTCCGACTAGGGCTGTGTGTGACCTCTGACCAGGGCTGTGTGTGACCTCCGACCAGGGCTGTGTGTGACCTCCGACCAGGGCTGTGTGTGACCTCCGACCAGGGCTGTGTGTGACCTCCGACCAGGGAGCGGGGCCAGATATTAACAGTAGATTTTCTGTGGTTATTAAAGTGGTTGTTATCCGTCTTCAGACTGGTGGCAGTAATATATTCTGATGAGTGTGACAGAAGCTCTGCGGAGAGGAGGATTATATGCGAGTTTACCGAGAGCACAAACATTTAAGCTCCGTCTGCAGTCTGAAAGGTTTTAAAGCTGCTGATGGGAACTCATTATATTCTGACAGGTATCCAGGAGTCAGTTTTCTATCAAACAAATTGGTCTCTGCTTTCTGCCAACGCTGTAAACTGATTTACATACAGTGTCTATTTCTGTGCTGCTTCACCTTTCTTACTTGTTGCTTTTCAACGAACATAAATGCCTGTTAGAGGTGTGGAAACTTCTGGATTCAGTATTACCAAAACGTCTGTGTTTCCTCCCGCAGTCAGCGTCGTAATGAGAACCTCGGGCTGCACAGTTAATCGAATATTAATCACAATCCTGATTTTGGCTCCCCACAGTTAAATGAACACGATCGTCTACGATATTAATGTTTAAAATGCTCGGCTCATAGAAAACTCTGCTGCATATCGAATCAAGCACTTCCTAAATTAACAGTAGCCACAGCGGGGGATCCAGATGTTCTGGTTTCTACTTTTTGGAGGAGCTGTCGTGTCGCTGCACGCACACCCTGCAGCTGCAGTCTGGAAACTAATTCCTTAAAACATTAAGTTGCTGCTGATGAAAACTGAACATTTCCTACTGCTGCAGCTTCATGTTAAAAGCATTTAACTGGCCGAACACTACTTTAATTTAAAGTAAGCTATTCAAAGTCATTTGGGGATTTTTTTTCAAGCTCCACTATTTCTTCCACTGCCGCTGTTACATTAAAATAATATGACATCAAATCATGATGATCATTTGCGGTGTAATTAAAGCTTTAGCCTTTTTTGTTATTTGGAGCGAAGAGGTGAACCAACCGACTGACATCAGCGTCCCTGGAGCCAGCGGCGTCGGTGAGGCTTAAAGAGCAAAAGCAAATAGCTTTAAATATGAATGTGGAAACAAGCAGAGTGAAGATGTAGCACTGATGTAAGCGGGGTGGCGGGGCAAGGTCAGTTCTGTATGAATGCCGCTGTGTGAGGAGATGTGTATTAAAGATTTAAACAGAAGGAGCTGGCAGAATGAGAGCTGTAACCATATAAGTAATTAAATAAATAAAATGTTGGAGGAGTCTGGCCCACTGCAGATGTACTCAGACAAAAGGAGCCTTTTCATTTGGGACTTTAATGCCGCTGTTTTTAGCCAACGTATGTTTCTGAGGCTATTGTCTGTCCGTGGAAAATAAATCTTCTTCAGAGTTGCTGTTGTTCACTGCAGCAGTTCTGCCTTTATATATCGTCCTCTGAGCTCAGCAGCCTTCAGGTTCGGCTGCAGAGAATCTAAACTTCATCGTCTGCTGATACAGTCGAGGATTTAGAGTTTATTAGTTTATTTACACAAAGAACAAATGCAGCAATAATCAGCAGCTAAATTACCTTTTAATATCAGGACATCAATAGTGCAAGGAACTATATGTGAGTGATCTTCTGTCGCTGTATATGAGCTTTTATATCGTAATACTGATACAAACCATGTCTCAAACCCAGTTTAGAAACTTTATGGACCTTTGTGTCGGTAAAATGAGCAAGAATGTCTCTTTTTGTTCACTTCAGCATATTAAATATCTGAAAAATCAAGACTCTTCACTACATTGATGCAAAAATTAGGAAAAAAATTAGAGCCGACTGATACGTGATTACTGATTTTAGGTGGGGAATTCACTGATTACCAATATGGCGGCAGATACAATATATTTTCTAGATTTTTGTCTGAGAAAAAAAGTTCAGTGATAAGTCTTTTTAGTAGTCCTTAAGTTATCATGTGTCACAGTGAAGTTGGTGAATTTAAAGAGATTAGTTTCATCCTTTGACTTTAAAAACAACAATAGAAAAGAGTTCTGTAAAGTCGGATCCATGTAGTCGTGTGTGGATTCGTTTTATTGATCGTGTTTCCATCCAAAGGGACATCCTGAACTTCCTCCGAGAGGGTGAGCTTCCTCACCGGGACCGAGTGCGAGCGGTTCACCGGGAGGCTCAGTACTACGCCATCGGCCCGCTGCTGGACAGCCTGGAGGACACGCAGCCGCTCACGGGGGAGAAAGTCCGACAAGCCTTCCTCGACCTGCTGCCGTACTACAGAGGTAACTGTAAAGGTTCAATAACAGTGGAAAATAATAGAAATCACCAGCTTTAAAGTTATTGTGACATCATTAAAAGTAGCTGAATTCGCTTTTAGCAGCTCCTGTTCGCTACGTGCAACGAGCTCTAACATCTTTAATAAACAAAAGAAACTCACCAAATGTTGACAAAGGAAAAGAACACTGATTCAATTGTACAGCTTCTGAATTTCAGTTTCTAAACTAAATAAAACTCACCAAACCGTCTCTATGAGTCACCAACTCTGCTGTCTAACAGAGTTACAGGTGGAAATATTGTCCTCTGCTGTCCGTGATGCGTCCTCATCCTCCCCAGAGTCAGAGTCCTGGTTGGAGCCGCTCTGAATCACCTTGCTTCTGTATTTCCTGTCGTCAAACTAGTCGAGATAAACCCTTAATTCACTGCAGTTATATGTGAAGATATTCTGTCTCTGCAGCTGTTTTTACTCTCACTCTCACTACGTCTCAGCAGCAACTCTCATCCTTCATACACGGGCCTTTAATTAGCAAAATAATAAGACTAAAATCGGCAGAAATGGCCGAACTCTAGTACGAGTCCTTGCTGCATCCCCTCTCTCTACCTGGTCCAATAAAGGCAAAAAAGACCCCAAAATATATGTTTAAAGTCACACTACTTTCTTAACACTAGTTTTGTGACCTAACCTTACACAGTTGTGATGTTACAGCGTTCACAGACGTATTAACACCTGTGGTAGATTCCTGCTGAAGTCTCTCCAGAAGCACTGTTTCTCCCACAATGCCACACACAGACTCACAAGGTGAAACAATACCGACTGTCGCCGTCGTGTCTGGTAAAAATATATCTTAATTCGAAGATTAAATTGGGTTCTTGTTTGCTCTGAAGGCAGAAACAGTGTTGAGTGGCAGTTTAATTAATGTTCACAACCTGTTCAGTGTCACACTGACGGGATGTGAATAGAGAACCACGTACAGTAAACACAGCACACACTCCATACACACACTCTCCTCACACACACTCCTCACACACACTCCTCAACCTCACACACTAGATAGGTAGTGTGATGTACAGTGTAAATATCTTTAATTAAACAATAAAAAGCAGATTTTATGTCAAATTAAAGCTAAAAACTATACATGTTCTGTTATTTTAGAGTATTTTTTGGCTCCAGCTGCAGGATTATTACCATTAATGTTACATAATATTTGTTCTGCTTTCAGACAATCTGGAGCGTATTGTGGAGATCGCCAAACTGAGGGCAATGCAGAAAAAGGCTCGGTTTGCCAAACTGAAGATCTGCGTCTACAAGGAGGAGATGCCGATCACGCCATACGAGCGCCCTCTCTTTAACTCTCTGCGCTTCGAGCGCTCGGACAGCGAGGCCAAACTGTTCGAGCACCACTGCGAGGTGGACGTTTCTTTCGGACCTTGGGAGGCGGTGGCGGACGTTTACGACCTGCTGCACTGCATCGTCAGCGACCTCGCCGAGCGTGGCATCACCGCCGAGCAGCAGTGCATCGGCGTCTGCGACAAGCACCTTATCAACCATTACTACTGCAAGAGGCCCATCTACGAGTTTAAGATCACGTGGTGGTGAAGCCGCGAAGCCGATGGGACCAACGAGCTAAAGTTCTGTTTTTACTACAATCGGCCGATATTGGTTTTTGTATTGAAGTTGCCAATATTTTGTGCTGACGTCTTAAAACGTGACCCTTTAAATCAAACTCATCAAGTATCCTGTGTTTGCCCAGAATGTTTTCCTTTTCTTTTTTCCACTCGGTGGATAAATTAGAATATTTAAGGACTCGTTGCGGCCGAGAGGTTCGCAGTGTGCCGCTGTAGTTACATGCAAGTTGCAGCCGGCTGTCGACCGCTGCGTTAAACTGAAGTATATAAATATATATATATATATATATATATTTATATACGTGTGAAACAACGCTGGTGCAGACGGACTGCTGCCGATTCTCTTCGGTTTCATTCAGTACAGCCGTCGACACGCTGGAGGGAGATTGTGTAACTTTTTTCCGCTGTGGCCATGAATAACAACAGTAGAGAGGTAACGTCTGTTATACAGTAGTATCTATACAATGCTAACGTTAGCCACCATAAGCTACTAATCAGACCAGATAAAGTATGTCTGAAGTAAACTAAACTTTTAAGACTCATTTCCTCCTTTAAAAGTTACGTTTTCTTGCTTTAAGCCATCAAACTTTTTTTTTCCAACTTGCTAGTGAAACTACAGCGACTGAAAGCAACATGATTGTAGCTTCAGAAGTGGTCGACATCACCGTGTATCTAATTTAAAATGACCCTTCCTAAGCCCCGCCCCTTTTTGGACCTCAGGCAACTTCCTGCTTTCCTGTACTTTGATATGCTACGTGCTAAGCTAATCCATGTTGAAAAGACAACCCCAGTTTTAAGATGAAAGATTGTTAAAAGATAAAAGAGACGTAAATACAGTCACATCGTAAGTTGACTAATGTTTAACAATGTTTAAAATGTGGTTGTTTTTTCAGATTAGCTTAGCACGTAGCGTATCTAAGTGCACAAAGCCGAAAACATTTCCCAGGATGGTGAAGTCACAGCCGCCCTACTCTGCCTCTGATTGGCTCACCCTGACATCCTGACACTAATCAATCAAACCAGTGAAGGCAGCGAGTATCAGCCAATCAGAGGCCGGTGGGGGGGGGGGTGTCAGGACTTCACCATCCTGGAGAAACAGCAGAGAGTTGACCGGTTGTTTATATCCTGAATGTATTATTGTTTATTTATTAGCTGGTTGATCGGTCGACTGTAGCGTCGATCGGGATCAATATGTGACATTTAAATATTGAATATTGTAAGTAAGTAAACTGAAGTCAGATCTGTATATTTTAGGACTAAGTTTAGTTTGAGGGTTCACACAGAGTATATTTTAATTATGCAACCTCCTGAGGAGTGTTTATAGTCGGCTGGTATCCATTACGTCACCAGTGGGGGGGAAGGAAAGAGTTTGAAAGATTAAATTCAAATTTAAACATTTAATTCAACCTTTATTAATCATTTGAGTTCAGTGGAGCTTCGATATAGAGAAAGTTAAGTTTCATGTCGTTTCCTTACTGTACCTGATGAAGTCTGAGCACCTTGTGATTGTAACCGAATTATTGTTTTTACCTCAAGTGAGAATCTGATAAACTCCAGTTATCAGCATCAGTTGTTTTGGAGCTACGTTCTTCCTACCAATGTTCATTTAATGTTTGCGAAAATGTTTTTATATTGTTATTTATCTGTTTCCGTTAGCTTCTAGGAAGCTACAGTTCGATATTTGGGCTTGTTTGTAGTGTTATTTTTATTATTTATGGTGAAAATTAAAAATAAATTATAATGCTTTCACAATGTGTCTCTGTTATTTATAGAAATATGTTGAAGTATTAAAGAAAATAAACTTTATTC